TTTATAAGCATTGTTTAACAGACAAATAAAAATTAAATGCTTATAACTGCAATTTCTTTTACCCCCTGATTACTTCTCTTTCTTTATAGGTATTTGAAGGGACTTCAGGTATAGATGCCAAGAAAACGTCCTGTGAGTTTACTGGAGATATTCTCCGAACACCGGTGTCTGAGGATATGCTTGGTAAGTTGATATCATTATTCATTCTCAGCAGAGATTTGTTTCCTTTTCAACATATTTCCATAAAGTCTTTTTTTTTTTTTTAAGATTTTATTGGGGAATTTGGGAAGGGAACATTGTGTTTTTCCAGGACCCATCAGCTCCAAGTCAATTGACTTCCAATCTTAGTTGTGGAGTGCACAGCTTAGCTCCAAGTTCAGTTGCCACTTTCAATTTAGTTACGGGGTGGCGCAGCCTACCATCCCATGCGGGATTTGAACCGGCAACCTTGTTGTTAAGAGCACACGCTCTCACCACCTGAGCCATCCGGCCAGTCCTCCATAAAGTCTTTTTAAAAAAATCGGAATATTTGTCATTTTTCACTCTGTACGGTCTTGTTACTGTTTCACAGGTCGTGTATTCAATGGATCAGGAAAGCCTATCGATAGAGGTCCTGTTGTACTGGCTGAAGACTTCCTCGATATCATGGGTAGGAACAGTAACTGGTTTTCTGTGTTTTTGGGAAAATAGCCCCCAGCTAGCTAGCTTATATCTTTGCCAGATAGAGAATGATTTTTGTGATACTTTAAGCAGATAACCAACACACTCCATGATTGATTAATTAGTTATTTCATTACTTAATACGTTTATTTTTCCTGGAGATCATCTTAAAATTTTATGTAAAATATCTTAAGATATTGTAAAATATCACTATGGAATATTTGAAATATAATTAGTAGAGCTGTGGCTTTGATTTGGGATTGCTGTCTTATTTTGCTATAGACCTTTATTTCACTTTAGGAACTCAAGTTCTGCTACCATATATTTCGTGAGTCTACAAAAGACTAATGGAAAAAATTAAACAGTTTCAGATTTCAGAAATAACTGATATTTTAAGAGAAAGAAATGCTTTATATGGTTTTAGTCTTAATGCACAGACTTACAAAANAGAAAAAACAAACAATTTTCTTCGGAATTTGAGTTTTTAATTTTCATTCTTTAGGTATTATTGAGTGCCTGCTGTTTGCAGGACACTGGTCTAGATATAAGGAAGTTTAAAAAAAATTATGGTCTTTACCTAATGTAAGCTATTCACTCTAGTTGGATATTTTTTGTGTGTGTGTGCAACAACAATTTGCGGTAGTTTAAGTGTCAGATGAAGAGCACAAATAAAATGTGCCACAAGACTTTAGAGACAGAATGATCAGCAAAGTTAAAAGTTACTTTCTTTTACTCTGTATGTGAAAATGCATAGTGTGTGCCTATTTGCTTGTGTGCTCTGGGTGGCTCCTAAGTGAGACTTCCAGCATTCCTCTTAAGTTATTGTCTTTTAGTCCTTTCCTTGGTTTTTAAAAAGAACATTTACAAGATATTTTCAGGAACAGTCATAACTCACTATAATCGAGCACTGTTCTAAGTGCTCTATAAATAATATTGATTCATTTGATCTGTCCTCATAGCAACTTTGAGATAGATGCTCTAATCTGAGGCACAGGGTTAAGTAAGGTCATCTGTCAAGGTAGGAAGTGACAGCTTTAGAACCCAGGCAGCCTGGTTTCACACAAACTGGTACACTGTACTGCCTCTTGCATGAAAATTATTTGTTCCAAGAAAGTAGCTACAAAATTACTTTATGGAATTTAGCAGACTTAGAAGTGTCTTGCTTTATGTGACCTTTGTGGTGCTGCCTGCCCCGTGTCGCTTTATTTGTCTAGCATCTTTCTATTTTCTATGTTGAAATAGCTAGTGAGCTAGGAATATTCTCTCAGTGTACGCGTGCATCAAATTGGCAAATCTCTGCAAGGGAACTAACTTTGTGTTTAAAATGGAATTTTATTTATATTTTGGGGAGAGATCACATAACTAAGAGAAATTGTACTTCTTTGAATGCAGCTCATTTACCTCATAGGCCAACACATCTCTGTGCTGCATTCAAATCAACTATCCGATGTAACCTCTAGCCACATCTTGTTCTTTAAATTCTAAAGTTAATTAAAATTAAATAAAATGTGAAATACCATTAAGGTTTTCAGTTACATGAGCCACATTTTAGGTGCTCAATAGCTGCATTTTGCTAGTGGCAACTATATTGGACAACACAGATACGGAACTTTTCCATCGTCACAAAATTATTTTATATAGTACTGTTTTAGGGAATGCTGTTAGTAATGCAGACTGACTTCCTATGAGTCTGTTTATATGAGATAGACACTTTTAAACTAACATCAGATGTCTTCCTCTGGTAGATATCACTCACCCCATCCCTGACTTGACTGGATATATCACAGAGGGGCAGATCTATGTGGACAGACAGCTACACAACAGACAGGTATTTCACATTTGGGCANGTGTAGAGGCCTGACCACCGCACTGTATTTCTGAAGCTGATGTTGAATAATATTGTATGTCAACTATAATTATATATACATATAGTCACGGGACAGGGAGTAGAGTGTGGGAATGGAGTCAATGGAATTGTAATAGATAAGTGTGATATCGGGAGTGGGAGGGCAGTAGATGGGGGAGGGGTTGTCTCTGTGTGAGGGGTGAAAAGGATAACTATTGCATTGTTCTGTACACCTGAAACAAACAAACAAAAAAGTTATTTTAGATTTCAGCTCCGTGCTTTTGTATTCCTCACCAGATTGCAGCTCAGATCTGTCGCCAGGCTGGTTTGGTAAAGAAATCTAAGGACGTAGTGGATTACAGTGAGGAAAATTTTGCCATTGTATTTGCTGCTATGGGTGTAAGTATAATTATTTTCTGCTGTATCATGAAGTATAAAATTAATTGTTTATGTTAGTAGAACAGTGTAGAAAACTACACATACGTCATTGAATTTATCTCCAGGTAGAGAAGTTGCAACTTGGCATTTTGGGCAAACTTAAGGATTAAAGTTTGGCATTTGACTATGAAACGTAAGAATAATTCCCTTTGTGCCCAAAGCAGGCTGTTTGTTTACTCTGTTGGCTTTTGTGAAAATTTGTTGGGTCCTTGAAACTTGAAAAGAAGGAACAATGCAGATCTATAGCTTGGCCTTCGTCAGAGATACATACTGAGAATTTTTCTTCTCCCAGCACTGATGAAGTCATTGCTATTTAGGTAAACATGGAAACTGCCCGGTTCTTCAAATCTGACTTTGAAGAAAATGGCTCCATGGACAATGTCTGCCTCTTTTTGAACTTGGCTAATGACCCGACGTAAGTAAATAGGTTATTTCTTTCTGTTTATCCAGGCTTCAGTTGAAAAATGTTACCTAAGACCAAGGAGGGAAAATGTTAAAATGAAAGCAGCATGGGCTTAAGAATGAGATAACTGTATTTAAATTCCAGCTCTGCTTCTTGCTAGTTGTTTGGCTTTGGGCAAATCACTTAGGCTATGAAGCTCAATTTTCTCTTTCAGAAAATGTGACAATTACTACTTGTCTCACCGGGTTGTTGTGCCTGTTAAATGAGATAATACATATAAATTATGTAGCACACAATCCATACTGAATAGATGATTTTTTTCCTCTTACTTGAGAAACCTGGCCCTTCTTTCTTCCTTCCTTCCCTCTGCTTCTCTCTCTTTCTTTTGAGAACTATATAGTGCTGAGAAATTATGGGGCA